AATACACAGTTTAGCAGAATTGGCAGCAACCGAATAAATTTACTAAGCAATCTAAGTGAAATGGCTAATCTAAGTGAAATTACGAGTAAATTTATCATTAAGTTAAATATGGAAAATCTTAAACTTACCTCGTTGCGTAGAGTATGAACCTCATTCTGCAACGATACTATCATCTCACGTAGAGCGGCAACCTCACCATGTAAAGTTGACACCTCCACACGCCATGCACCATCGTTATCGCGTAGAGTACCGATCTCCTCACGCAAGGCATTGACCTCATCACGTAACTCCCTTGACTCATCCCGTTGAGGTGGAGGTGGAGAACAGGGAGATAGGAGTCGTGGCATCTTTGCCGGTCGCCTATCATGAGGTGATGGTGGAGAAGAGGCTCGATGATGTGACGGGATAGGTGATGGCTCTCGTTCTAGAGGTGTATAGTCGGGTCGATCGGGTGATGGCTCTAGGTGAGGTGATGGCTCTCGAATTGGAGGAAGTGGATGCTGCTCATCATCCGTGCCATCAAAAAAACTCTGACTAGCTTGCCACCAATCAGTGGCAAGCTCTTCCTCTGTGGGTGTCAGTCTTTGTAATGGAATGTTGGCCTCCTAAAATATAAAAACTCAAACAAAGTTAAACGTCTACTATTAATAACTTGTTTATATATTATATGAAAGTATTTGTGTTAACTTACATTATTTATTGTCGCATATGGTATTAAGTCTTCCCAATCCAACAGAGTTTTCCTCTTCCAGGAAATAGCCCTGGGAATATCATTTGACGTTTTTATTGCATATGTACGCATGCTGGGGAAAGCCTCGAATATCCAAATCTACAAACATATAATAACAAAATTAGTAATTGTTAAATAATTAATTATAATTTTAGAAACATTATATAGAAATTCTTACCTTAAAGGCCCAAACAAAGCCTGACAAAGTGTATTTGGACCCATCGCCCCGCAAACTTTTGCGGTCATCAAAGGCAGACGACAACTTAGTCCAGGTAGCTTTCCATATATACGAACCCCACGGAAACAGATTCCATGCATTCAGGTCCTCTACCAATATTATTAGCTCCCGATGAATAGGTTGTCTGGCCTCTCTGCCTAAAAAGCCGGCATACACAAGTAGTAGAAGGCATACTCGGACAACATCGACGTCATCCATCCGAGTGAAACCAGCTTTCTTATTAAACAATTTCTTCAGGTCGTCGACATGTAGGTTCGGCTTCTCCATTGACTCATCCGGAAAAACCCGGGATAACCATGATGGGCGGGCGATATGACGAGTGTACCGGCCTACATCATCGTGTCCGAATCGTAGACCAGTGATTAAGCAGAACTCCTTCCGCCCAAAACAAGTATACGCTGGTGGAAAATGAAACCATATCTCTTCCTCACCACGTTGTATACTGTCGGGTAGATTTGATGTCATGGTCTGAAGCCACAAATGGGTCAAATTAGCATCTCCACCCGGATGCTGTACTCTCAGCCATGGCCCGAAGCAGGTTTCCTCAAACAATTGTCTTTGAGCAGGTGAAAGCTTCGAAGCAATTGTAGTGGCCAGGCTGACTTTATTTCTCAAGGTCAATTGAGCCGAAAAAAATTTCTACAAAAACAATAAACATACCAAGTTAGATATACCAAAAACTACACTGTGAAGATATACCAAAAACAATAAACATAAAAAGTAGTAGTTTATTCTTGAAACTAAAATTTGCAACACTGTTTTGTCTTTTGGTTGAAATGAAAATCGCAACGAGAGAATCGCAACGCGAAATGAAAATCGCAACTAGAGAATCGCAACGCGAAATGAAAATCGCAACGAGAGAATCGCTACGCGAAATTAAAATCGCAATGCGATTTTGGTTTCGCGTTGCGATTCTCTCGTTGCGATTTTCATTTCGCGTTGCGATTCTCTCGTTGCGATTTTCATTTCTCTCGTTGCGACAGTCATTCTCTCGTTGCGATTTTCATTTATCTCGTTGCGACTCTTCTGCAAATTGAAACTTGAATGGATTGCATTACTTCAACCAAAAGACAGAACAAAGACAAAGACAAATACTAACTTGAAAATCGCAACGAGAGAATAGCAACGCGAAATGAAAATCGCAACGACAGAATCGTAACGCGAAATGAAATCTAAGTGAAATGGTTAATCTATTATTGAAATGACCAGTAAACTTATCATCAGTTTCAATATGAAAAACCTACAATAATGCAAACATTTCAAAATAAAAATAATTAAAAAAACTAACCCTCGGAGGTTGATTTTCCATTTCTGAATATTGTGAGGGATTTCTGACCGTGAATGGTTGTGAGGGATTTCGCCGGAGATGGGGACGGAAATCTTCGGAGATGGGGACGGATTTCTTCGCCGTAGAGAGTGAGAGATGGAGATGGGACTGAGTTGTGATTTTAGGTTTTAGGTTATGAGTTGCGATTACGGGATTTTGTCTTAATATTGGTTTTTGTAATTTGAAAATAAAATACGCGTAGCGATTATAATGGCGCTTTAAATATCGCGTTGCGATTTACGGATACGCGTTGCGATTTTATGTATTATCGTTGCGATTTACGGATACGCGTTGCGATATACGGATACACGTTGCGATTTACGGATACGCGTTGCGATTTATGTGTTCGCGTTGCGATTTTCATATTCGCGTTGCGATTTTGGAAAATCGCAATGCGAATTTGTACTATCGCATTGCGATTTTCAAGAATCGCGTTGCGATTTTGGAAACTGATTTGCGATTCTGGGGATCGCGTTGCGATTTTTATTTCGCGTTGCGATTTTGTTGGTCATTTTGGCAAATCCAAAAAAAGTTGGTTAAAATCGTATATTATAACTTTTTTTTGGTCACTGAGGCGATTTTCTCTTTATTTATTTTCTTAGCTGTATTGATAATGTAATTTGTAAGTGTTGGTTAAAATCCATGTGCAAATCAAAGAGGGTAGCTTCACTAGCTCTCTAGTTGTTAAATATAGTTTGGCCGGTAATATATACCAAATATAATAAGTGTAATGTCAAAAAAATATTTATAACGCCTGATGAGATAATTATTTTAATTTTATTTTTGTTAGTATTTTGGCATCAATATTTTATTAGGTAAAGTATACAAATAGTCCCTTAACTATAGACATTGGTTAATTTAGTTATTCAAATAAGTTACAAAATTGTTACTCAACTATTCATTATGTTTCAAACTCTCATTTTTCTTTAAAAATGGATGGTATTATGAAATGAATGTTAATTTGTTGACTATGATATGATAAAATTTGATCTCAGAGTCTCCAACGACTACCATATCATAGTCATCATATTAACGTTCAGCTTGAACAATTGTTAATTTTTAACGAAAAAGGACGAGTTTGGGACATAATGAATAATAAAGTGACCATTTTATTACTTTTAATTATCGAGGAACTTAAAAAAGCAACCTTCTATAGTTGAAGGATCATTTTATAACTTTTAATAGCCAATAAACTTAATAAAGCAATATCCTATAGTCAAGAGATCATTTGTGTACTTTACCCTATTTTATTTATGTTAAGAATATCCCTAACGATTTACTAAATAGTCACTCTAGCCCATTTTTTAGTATTTTAATCTCACCTCTTCATTTTAGATAAAAAAAACTTTTATTTTGTAACGTTGACCATTTATTGACTAACATTTTCTATCTATAAAGGACTCTTTATATCTCAAAATAAAAAAAAATTGAGCCAAAATACTTTATAAGAAATATAAATCAAAATAATTATTTAATCAAACATTACATATATTTTTTAACATTATGCTAAATATAATACTAAAAGGATGGTTCCATTTGAGAAATCAAAGTTTTCTAGGCAACATTTGCTTAACTATTACTTTTTAATAGAAGGAAATGGTCCAAATGGAGTAAACAAATTGTCTTATAGTTATATAAATTTTAAAATGTTGGCTTTTCAAATAATAAGTTTTCTAGGCAACGTGTATCATGTTTTATTCCAGCTTTGAGCATACTAAGAATTATTAATTTCTGAATTGGACCGGACCAAAGAGTGGTTTCAAGAAATTTAAGTTCAAATTCGATCTATTCTTTTTTTTTTATTATGATCAAATTCGATTTATCTATTTTTATTAACCTGAGATCAGGGACAGAGCTATTTTAGAGTCTAAGGGTCAATTTATATTAAAATTTATATATTTGATATAATCTTGATTTAATAGTATTTTAGTTAATGTAAAAATAAATATTTAAATTTAAAAATATAAAAAATTTATTAAATTTTTAATTAAGTATCAGTTAAACTAATGAATTATAAATATGTATTCTCAAATTTTTAGTCTAATTACAATTTAAGTCATTATAAATTTAAATATTAAACAAATTAAAAGTTATCTTGTGAATTTTAAGTTTTTTTTATTATAAATTTAAGGTGAATAAAATAGAATATATATACAAAAACTTTTAAATATTTAATAATGAACACTTATATCCTTACATACACACTGTTTGAAATCAAGACCTCAAAAATAACAACAATCTATTTAATGATTAAGATCGATTGTTCATACTGAATTTCAAATTTAAATATCTAATAAGTCTTTATATTTTTCTTTAGTAGTCTAATATTTTAACGCCTATCAATATCTGCCTATCAATATCTAATTTTAACTTCGTCCTTAACTGAGATAAATATGAAATAGTTTAAAGATACATCTTATTCATTTAAGATTATATGTTGATATGTTTAGAGATAAATACAAAAATAATAACACACATTTTATATTAATATGGATAATAAACTAGTTTAATGTTAAAAAGAGTAAACTACATATTTGGCCATTCTACCTATCCTTGCATTTTCATTTTAATCGTTCAATTTTTTTTCTTCTTAAAAGCATACTCAATATTATACTTTTATTTCATTTTAGTCACATCACTAAAATATAAACAAAATTACCAACATTGGATATGAACGTTAAAATAACCAAAACAAAACCACAACATTAACAATGTAAAAGCTAGGGTTTCAATGTTATCTCCATGGATGAACTAATCAAGCTAGTAAAGAAATCACTTTGGTAATGAAGAGAAATTAAATTACATTTCTGTAAATTTAGATTAACAATGCTCATAATTCCTGCTTCAACAAACATAAAAATCCCACATTTATCTTAATTACGGCCACGCTTTGCCAATCTGGGTGAAGTCCTACTCCCACTAGTCACCTCAGTTTTACCCTTCGTTTTCTTCTTATCATCTTTAGTTTCAGGCCAATGATTAACCTCCTCGACGATCCTCATCACGTCGCCGCCGATGCCGTCGCTAAAGCTAATATTCATTTCGCTAACCAACCCGCCGTTCTTCGCTGCTAGCTCGAAATCATTGCCCAACTTCCGCACCGCACCGTTCCGCAACACCCTCTTCTTTTCTCTCTTCAGCAGCGGTTCATCGACTTCGCTTCCACTCAGGGCGTTATCGTCGTCGTTTAGATCCAAGAATCTTCTTTTTACAGCCATGGGGGCGGGAGGAGGAGAAACGTCGTCGTATGCATCGATTTTGGTCTTAGAACTCCTTTCGGGGGTGTCATTGAGAATTTTCTCGCGCTGAGCCTTGAGTCTTTTGACGTTGCCTTCGATACGACCTTGGAGACGGAGGCGCTTGAAGCTGCGACCACCCATGGACCAATGTGCATCGTCGGCCCATGAGAGGAGCGGATCGAGGACCGGGACCGGAGGGTCTATACGTTCCGAGCTGAACTTGGTATCCGTGTAGATGCGGGGCCGTGGAAGGCTGCTTCCGTAGAACTTGCCGGGGCCGAGAGGAACCACCATTGTTTGGCGATTAGTAGTCGAGACTCTTTGGGGAATTATGACGAACAGTTGAGCGACGATGTTGAAAGGAAGATGAGTGAATGTGAGAGATACTTTGGCTGTGTTGTTTTAAAGGGCATTAGCTGAGCGAGGCGGGTGATTTTAGCGGGAAAGCTATGGCGGCCAAAGTTAGCGCCATCCCAAGCTAGAAAATTTTCGGAAAATTCAAGGTTTTCGGTGATTTTGGCGGGGATTTAAAAGCTCAATTGGGCCTAATTTCTAGGGTTTGTTCAAAGGTTTTTTTTCCAATAGGGCAGCCCAAAAAATTTGAAAAACAAATCGCATAAGTACTTTTATTTTGGGATATATGATATTTTTATAGTGAATAGAATTCGTCACTTTGAGGTGATGATGTAATGAATTCAAATAAAAAATATTTTTATTCAATTTTTTTATTTTGATGTGATAAATTCAAAAAAATATTATTTTTTAAAATTCGTCACCTCAATATGACAAGTTCTATAAACACAAAAAAATATCATAAATCTCAAAATGAAAACTTGAGTGCCTTAATAGGCTAAATAAAAAACTCGGATCTCCTAATAGGACAAAAAAACCTTTGTTCATATAAGGTTGGATCTTTTTAAAATGAATAAATAATTTTAAATTAAATTAAATACGATATTATACTATACATAAAAAATTAATTATAGAATATGTTAATAAACAATAATTTAAATTTTAAATTGATCACCATTCAAGAGGTACACCAAATATTAAATGTAAAATAATATAGTATTATTTAAATAATTTAAATACATAAACTGTTTTGTAAATTCAAATATAGTAATAAAAGAATTTTAAATATCAATTAAAATTTTTATAATATTAAGAAATCAACCGATATTTTTTTAATCATAAGTTCCAATAAAGTGTTTGGTGGAATATATAAGTTTTAGTGGAATTATTGTAAGCTCCAATTCTAGTTCAGTAGTTAAGTGCAAAACACCTAAGGAAGGGGTTTGAGTTCAATTCCTTTTTCCCCAGTGGTAATCATTTATTTTCTTTAAAATTTCGGATCAATAAGGTGTTGACTAGAAGAGGTAAAATGGCGTGAAAAGTCAAAAACTAAAAAGTTTACGTCTAATTCGTCCATCATTTTACAAGCACAATGACCAAATTATAAAAAAAAGAAAAAAAAAGAAAAAAAAAGAATTAAAGTGAAAACTCGTAACGACGCTTTGAAAAAACATTCTAAAGTGAAAACTCGTAACGGCGTTTTGAAAAAACATTCTAAAGTGAAACCTGAAAGGGCACTTGAACTAACTTTTGATTTTTGATATGATTTTCAAATGTTTTAAGGTGTTAAAATTTACATTTTAAGATTTTATAAATGATTTTTAAAAATAAGTGTTATTGAATAATTTCACAAATTATAAACAATGTTTTAAATCTTAAAACACGTGTTATTAGCCAAAAACACATGTCAGTCTCAAGACCAACATGCCAGTTTTGATACCAAATAAGAGTTTTTGGGGTTTTTTTGGTTCTTTTTTGTACGATGCAAATCACCTCTGTTCAATATATTCCCAAACAGGATATGGTCAAGCTCTCTGAGAATACCTATTTACTATGGAAACATCAAGTATCTCTCATTATTTATGGTTTTGGATTGCTTCAGTTTATGGTCAAGCTCTCTGAGAATACCAAATAACGACGAAATCTGGTCAAGTTGAGGAAAATCCGGCGTTTGTTCTTCATTAACAACAAGATAAATTGTTAACATCATGGTTGCTTACCACTGTAAGCATTGAGGTTTTGCCACATCTCACCGGTCTCTCCTCTGCCAATATTATTTGGAACACTATTTCACGTTTGTTTGGTACTCGATCGAGTGCTAAAGTGTATTCTCTTTGACATAGTCTTCACTCTCAACGTAAGGCTAGACAATCGGTGAATGAGTTTCTTGTCAAGGTCAAATCGATTTATGATATGTTGAGTGCAGCAGGAAGTCCAATCACTGAACATGAACACGTTAATGTCATTCTTATAGGATTATCCATGGAATTTGAATCTGTTATTGCAATTACTTCAAGTGACAATGTGTCCTTAGAAGTGCTCACTGAAATGTTGCTTGATTGTGAAGCACGACATAAGGCTTTTCTCACTGAAGGAGGCCAACTTGGTCTCTCGTTCTAGTGGTGATATTGTTTTGCATGACTCTGAATTTTCGGAGGGAAATGTTACTGCAAAGCAAGGTGGTGCCACGAGAGGCCAATCCAGTGATGGTTATCGAGGACGTGGTCGAGGTCGGTTTGAAAACTCAAATCGCCCTAAATGCCAACTCTATGGGAAATACGGTCACACGGTTCAGAAATGCTATCATCGTTTTGATAGGGACTTCACTGGTGTTCCTACTGACAGTCAAAGCAGTGAAGGGTGGATGTCTTCGCCAATTTCTGCAGAAAATCAGCAGACACCTTTCAGTGCTCATGCATTTACCCATACAATGTGTGCTCCTTTTCCCTCGATGAGTGTTTCTTTTCCTTCTCCTCATGGGTTCTTTTATTCCAATCCTATTTTCATGATGCCTACTGTTAGCCCAGGATCTATCTATCAGGATGTTCATAGTACTCTACGCTGCAAACATATGGTGCTTTGGATACGGTAAAAGGTTCACAAGGGTATATGAATCCTTCAGCTACTTTTGTCTCAGCTGCACATTCATCTCGTCCTGCTTTGCCAACTGGTGGTGTTGATCCAGTGTGGTATCCTGATATGGGGACAACACATCATGTTGCAAATTATGTGTCTGCTCAATACTGGTACAACTTATATAGGTAAACATAGTCTTCATATAGAAAATGGTGAAGGTGTTAAAATCTCCCATATTGGCCAAAGTTTCTTGCCATCGAAAACAAAGTCGTTAGTCCTACAAAATGTTCTCCATGTGCCTGACATTAATAAGAACTTATTGTCCGTTTCTCAATTTACCCGGGATAATAATGTTTTTTTATTGAATTTCATCCGTTTGAATGTTTTGTGAATGATGCTTTTACTCGGAGCGTGTTGTTGAACGGGAAGCTCACAAATGAAGGTTTATATCAAATTGTTCTTCTTAATACAAAGAAGATTCCTATACAACTAAATAATGTGTCAAAGTCTTGTGGTTTGTTAGACTTATGGCATAAGCGATTATGACATTCGACTGTTAGTGTGGTGAAGACATTAATGAAATTATGCAATGTTGCTTCTAATAAAAGTAATTTGTCTTCTGCTTGCAATGCTTGTTTACAAAGTAAAACATATAAGTTGCCAGTATCCAATTCTGTTACTGAATATACTACACCTTTTCAACTAGTTGTCTCTGATGTCTAGGGGCCAACACCAATTGTTTCTACTAATGGCTTTGCATACTTTGTGTCTTTCATTGATGTGTATAGCAAATTTACATGGGTTTACTTGATTAAAAGGAAGTCTAAAGTTATGCAATGCTTTCTTAATTTTTACAAGATTATCGGGGTTCAATTTGGAGTCAAGATAAAAACATTGCAGAGTGATGGTGGTGGAGAGTATCAAGCTCTAAAAGGATGTTTTTTGGTAAATGGTGTTCAATATCGGCTCTCTTATCCAAGCACGTCTGAACAAAATGGAAAAGCTAAACGAAAACATCGTCAAGTGGTTGAAATGGTCTTGCATTGTTTTCCCAAGCTTACTTGCCTCTGAAGTCTTAGAGTTATGCATTTAATTCAACGTGTACCATATAAATTGTTTGGCTACAGGGGTGTTACATGGAAAATTACCATTTGAAGTATTACATCATTAGCTTCTTGATTACTCGGTGTTAAGGGTTTTTGGATGTGCTTGTTTTCCTTTGGTAAGACTGTTTAATCACCATAAACTTGAATATCGATCCAGACGCTGTGTATTTCTTGGATATAGTCCGTCTGTAACATCCCAAAAGTCGGGTCAATGACCAAAATATAAGTTTTAGTAATTTAGTGACCAATCTCAGAAAAGATTAAAAGTTTAGGGATTTAAATGAAAAGTGTTGATGTTGGATTTAATAACAAAATTTTAAAGTAATAAGGGTATTATGGTCATTTTTTAGGAAAGATTTTTATTTCCCTTTATAAAGGGTAATAAGAATGTGGGAAAGGAGATATTTCTCCAGAGCATTCTTCAGTCCTCTTCTTTCTCCTCTCCACCGTGAAGCCTTGTATAAGGTAAGTGGGTCTTCAGTTGGTTAATTTTTTCATTTTAAAGCTTGCTTTGATTCTTGGAATATTAAGAAAGATTAAGGAAAGCTTTAGGTGTCTTAAAACTCAAAGATTAACAAGTTTTGAAAAATTAAGAAAAATGAGTTTTTAAGGTGAATATTTGAAATAGAAGGAGTTAATAGATTTTGAAGTTGAATTTGACTTATCCAGGGTTAAATTAAGAGTTATGAAGTGTTAGAATTGGAATTTGTACATGTTGCAAAGTTGGTGTAATTTTTTAATTACATATGGAAGATAGAATTTTTAAGTTAAAGATGTATTGAATGAGTATAAATGAGCTTAAGTAAGTGTATTTGAGCTTAGCATATGAAGGAGGAGGAAACATGAAGTGTTTGAGATGAAATGAAGTAATTTTCATGCTGAAAATGTAGTTTCTGGGCTAAGGGTATCGATACCCATTCAACAGGTACCGATACCCTCTCAAACGAAAAGAAACACAGAATGTCATTAGGGTACCTATACCCTCAGTAGGGTACCGATATCCCCTAAAGGAAAAAGTGAATATTGGTTTATCAAGCTCGTTTAAATAGTTAGTATCAAATTACAAGGTGTATGTATCTAATATTTTCCTTAAAATGTATATTTATGTAGATTTTGAGCCTAAAACAATTCCGGAACATTTGGCAAATAAGATCGATCAAGGGGAAAAGAGATAGGTATTGACTACTGACTAGTAAGGCCAGGTGAGTGCATATTAGTGATATGTAATGGTTACTGGAAATTTGACTTGCGATAAGTCTATTTCCTAGAGTAAAATGCATGAAATCATGAACATGAGCATAGTTTGATATGATTATATGTGCTATATGTTGATATGCTTTGTATACGATACATTATTTATG